ATCAAAAATATTAATAACAGTTATGATAGAAAAACGTGGACTCGTTTACAGACCGTGATTGTCATCGACATAATCGTTATTAAGGTCAGCATATCGTTCTTCGTCGCACAGCCTTTCCATCTCGAGCTCTTCGGCCGACAACTGTTGGGCACATTGTCTGCGATTGGCATCAAATTCACTCAAATCATTGAGATATCCTCTCACGTCAAACCTGATGTCCGGGAATCAAAAGACACGACAAATATTAGACATTAGAAGAGATTTGATTAACAGACAGACAAATAACTAAATTATCCTCAAATGTTGCACTGATTTATTACAAATACTTATTATCTCATTATTTTTCTCATAAACTAATCTATAATTTCGGTCCGAATTAAGCGAAACGTTTGGCCATTCAGTGGATGGAAAACTTTGCGCCAAAATTCAGCCCATTTTTGGACATTAATAACAATTGAAAATAAAATAATTAATTAAGAGTTACAGTAAATGAATGATAAGACATATATCAACTGATTTTGCGCGCAAAGCCATTGGATCCACTAATTGTTGGCCATCAATATATTGGAGATAATATATTCAATTGTGTAATAAATTGATTGCATACACAATACTAAACAGTATATGCAATCATTAGGTAATCATATAATAGTAACAAATATATAGTTAATTAAAAACTTATGGTTTTTGAATATTGAATGAATGAATCAATTTATTTGCATTTTGAATGTGTGTATAATTCATACCAATCCTCGGGTTAATTGCATTATTAACAGTGAATATTGCATTTCCATCCGCATTATTATTATCATATATTAACCACAAATCACTTCCTAGAGGTATGTCTTAAGAAAATGGTTTTTATGTCAAATCCATAAATGAAATCATTATTGTTTTTTGTCGTCAAATATAACATATTTAACAAACAAATCAAACGAAACAAAAATATACATAAAAATACAATTTTGTCCCAAAAAACAATCAACAAAAACAACAGTTGAGACAAAATTCATGGTAAAAAAGTTTTTGGTTTCAATTCGTAATCAATTCAAGAGTTTTTTGTCCGAAAAGAAGTCAATTAATTAATTAATGGTTTTATGGTTTCAATCAATCAATGAATAGATATTTGTGGAGATAATCATTGTTTGTGACGGACCTGTCTATCAGATGGTCAGTGGATCCGTTCCAACCGATCAGATGCTGTCCGGAGTCGATCTCACGGGCGCGTCGGTCGTCGCGGAATAGTTTACACGAATAGCCGAAGACAAACAGTTGATCCAAATCGGGGTCACTGTTAGCGCCGCTCTTGTGGCCACTATTGTGTGTCCGGTCGCCAAACGATGTCTTGTGGTGTCCGCCGGCGGCCGTCGTTGTGGGCGATGGCTGTGACCAGAGATGTGTCGGTTCGGAACCGATGGACCGAAACAGCGAATACGAACTCAAAGCCGTTTCCGATGTCATCCCCGATGTGTCCATTCTTTCGGGCAATCGATTCGATGTCAACACTCTTGGGATACACTTCTGGCCCACGATATGGTCGGTAATCACGGCTCAAGTGATTAACAATTAATTAAAATATAAATAATCATAAAATTGTGAATAAAATTGCAGTCAAAGCCATAATATCTCCATTTAATGGTTCGTTCAGATATGCCGTTACTTTTAATGGGGGTATGAGTTAGAGTTTATGCCCCCTGAGTATGAGTGCCCATTAGTGCCCATGGTCAATTTAGTCAATTGTTATTAATTGTAATATAAATTGTAATTAAAATATTTTTTGAAAGTATTATTTTGTTAATAAATACTGTGAGGAGAGAGTGAGTGAAATGTTGTGCGAATTGAATGCAATCATTGGATGCAAACAATAGTTTGAGTTAAGATGAGTGTAAGTGATAGCCGAGTATTGTATGACAAGTGTTGCCCCGAATTCATGTCAAACTATACCTAAAAACTACTCAAAAATCTCTATTCGTATAATTAAAACAATAATTAAAAATTTTTGGTTATTTTTTCTAATTTATAAATTATTGCATTTATAGGAAACTTTTCATTTAATGATAGCCTAACCTATGCTTAAAACACGAGCGATAAAAGTTTAGTAACAATTATTATGTGTTTTTCATACAGAATTCAATCAATTAATTAATAAAAATACAACAAAAATATTTCGCAAGTAATCGGAAAAATTGTTTCATTAATTTTCAAACCATATATTTGTGACCAAAAATGAGGACAAAATAGAAAACCAAAAACAAGTTTTGTTACGAAGAAATTGCAATGCATTTGAAAGTCAATCAAATACTGTATCTATGAATGGCTTGAATAGTGAAAAAAAAATTACAACACTTTTCCCACTATTGAGTGAAAAGTATTGAAAATTGAAACTCAAAAACATATGAAAACATTTATTTTCATTACATTTCATAACAAATTTCTATGCATTTAATGCCATAACTCTATTGACGTGTAGTTTCTGTAATAGTATTGTGTTTTTTAATCACATATTAATTGTAAACTTATTCAACACTTTAAATGGATATTCAATTGATTACATAATAATTGTTTATTTTAGACAACAATTTATATAATTATTAAAGCAATCATTGAATGCAAAACAAACTCAACGATAGTTAGTGTCCGTCAAAAGTGTTGACAACATATAATTGGNGGCCATCAGTTCGCTGTCACATCAGCTGATCCAGTGTCCCAATGGCTGACCAATCCATCCAAACAGTTGTGGTTCAGCTCAAGTCAGAATCGGGCGAATCATTCGGCACTCCGTTCGACATTCCTCTGGATATCAATGGAGACAAACTTCAACTCATATGCAATGCATTGCTGGACAACGAGCGACACATTCCGTACCTATTCTTCGCGAATGACATCCAAATAACCGATAGTTTGCGGCAAACGATTGACACGAACCGCAAACTCTTCGATACGGAGCGCTGTCTGGACATCGTGTGCGCCCCTCAGGCCGTGTTTCACGTGCGGGCGGTCTCGCGGTGCAGCTCATCCATCACCGGCCACTCCGACGCTGTGGTGTCCGTACAGTTCAGTCCCGACGGCTCCCAATTGGCGTCGGGTTCGGGCGACACGACTGTCAGGTTTTGGGACGTCGACACCGAAACACCCAAATTTACGGCCACTTCACACAAACACTGGGTTCTGTCCATCGCGTGGTCACCGAATGGCCAACGACTCGCCTCAGCCGATAAGAACGGAACCATTTATATCTGGGATCCAAAGACTGGCAATCAATTGGGAAACGCTCTGTTGGCTCACAAACAGTGGGTCAACTCAATGGCTTGGGAACCGTTTCACAGGTATGTCTTCAATGATAACGTTGTTTAATCATTATTTGACTTGATATCTCAACTAATCGATAGTAACACCGAATGCCGTCGTCTGGCGAGCGCTTCCAAAGACTGTTCGGTGAGAATATGGGATACAGTGCTCCAGAAGGTTGACTTCACGATCAATGGTCATCTCCAAAGTGTTACTTGTGTCAAATGGGGCGGAACTGGTCTTATATACACAGCATCTCAAGACAGGACTGTCAAAGTGTGGAGAAGTGATACCGTAAGCCTCTATACCTGTCCTCCCATACAAACTACTAATTGTTGTAATGATTAATCCAATCACAGGGTGTACTCTGTCGTACACTTGAAGGTCACGCTCATTGGGTCAACACATTAGCGCTGTCCACTGATTACGCCATACGGACAGCCGTTTTCGATCCGGCCTTTC